TCAATTGACACAAACATGCATTTAATTAAAAAATACTTACTGTACTATTATTTTTTTAAAAACTTTAGCATATTTTATAAATTAGTTTATTATTTAAAGTATTTACTACTATTTTATTTGAGGCAAAAATATACAATATATTAATATTAAAAGCTTTAAAATGAATTAATCTAGAAGATTAATATTAATAAATAATATATTGTGTAAATTATTTGACATTTAAATATTTGGGAAAACAAAACCACAAAAACAAAACAAAAATTTTACTAATTTTTTGCAGATATTTTAATGTTAATCTAATCTGAATTAATTGCAACTAAAGTGTTGTCATTGAGATAAAACAGTGTTAAAAACTGACTTATTCTGTACATAAATTTTTATCTTAAAGTTACTCAAAATTTATACTTACGGCAATACATCAGTTATCCTATGAATTATAAACAAAAATTGTATAGAAATTTAATAATTTGGAAAATAAAAAGTTATTAAAATTGGTTAATAATTAGCAAGCATTAGGTGTGGAGAGAGAGAGAGAGAGAGAGAGAGAGAGAGAGAGAGAGAGAGAGAGAGAGAGAGAGAGAGAGAGAGAGAGAGAGAGAGAGAGAGGAGTCACACCTGTCTGTCTATGAGAATCAGGATCTGACAATTGAGGAGGAGTTGCATTTGTGGCAACGCATCACAGCCTCAACACTGAGAAGCACTGGAATACAGTATTATTTTTGTTGATAATAGAGTACAGCTTACAACTAACTGGCCCTCACTCACGATCCCGGAATCCCTTTATATTTTATACGATTATATCTCTTATAGATATTACAATCAAAATGATAGTACAGTATTGCATCTATTTTTTAAACCTTTAAAAAATTGATCCGTTTTTATAGGAAATACATATTAGAAAATGACAAAATTAATAATAGATAATATTTTTTTAACTATTTGTAAATTTATAATTGATACTATATATATATAAGTTGTCACAAAACTTGTGTTCAAAAGATCTATAATTTGTATTATTGTTAAATTAGTAAACTAATAGCTAATAGCTWGCTTTGACAACTTTTTTTAAAAAAATGTTTAACAATGGGAAACAATATTTAATCAATAAACAGGTGGACTATATTATATTGCATTCACTTATATACATATATCGCACAGTTATGTATAAAATATACTAAAGCTATCCACTCTTCTCTCTCTCTCTCTCTCTCTCTCTCTCTCTCTCTCTCTCTCTCCCATTCAATACATTAAACAATTTTGTGATATATTTATTATACTATATATAAAGTTCTCAAATGAACACAAAAAAAAAGTTTTGTATTCATTAATTATTAACTAAATCATTGAATCCGTTTGAATGATTGAATGGCAGAACATTTTAACTGCTGAGCAGTGGATTCACTCGTCAACACATTTTAGGTGATCCTAACGACACAAAAGTGTGTTGAGACTAACGAAACTCAATACACGAAAAATCTGATAAACGAAAAAAATAATAATAAATATATTTAAAAAGTTTGTCTTCTTATAAATTGAAACCAATAATGGATGATAAAGTTGTTGCCAAAGATGATGATTCGTGTGAACAACAAATTGAATATACATTTTTGACACCATTGACCTCCACAGTTAACGATCATGACCTACTTGTTCACCAACAGAATAGCTACCATTTATATTACACCGATTCTGTTGCCGCTTTACCGACTAATCTGATCTCAGACGAAGACGATGGCGACGAAAACTTTGAAAGCTGCGAATCTAATGGTTCCACACATAGTGGTAGCGAAGTGAGAAACGATCCGTTCAGTCCTCACTGTAAGATACCATTGCCGGGAGATTACGGTAATTCACACTTCTTCGACACCACAACATTCATACGGCGCCGAAATGAACGGGAAAGGGCTCGCGTTCGCAGTGTTAACGATGGCTTTGAAAGACTAAGACAACATTTACCATTGAGTCCCACTCTTAAAGATAAACGACTGTCCAAAGTGGAGACTTTGCGTTTTGCCATCACTTATATCAATCACTTACAGTCAGTTCTTAACTCAAAGTCGCAGACAACTAACGGTAATAAGTAATTGTAATTAAAGTTAAAGTTAAAGTTAAAACTATCAAATTTTTTATAGTCAATTGAAAAATATAATTTATAATCTAGTTTAATTATCTAATCTATTAATTTATAAAAGTTTTTAATGTCAATAATCTAGTTTTAATTAGTTAATTAAAATTTTATATATAAAATTAATCAAAGGATTTATAAATATATTTATGATTTATTAAATGTTTTTTTTTTTTGATTGAAAACTCTAACAAATTTGAATTGCAATTGCATTATCTAATGTTGTACTGTATATACCGATATATATACTGTGTTATAAAAAAAATCATTGCAATATTACAAAATCGTTTAGTTTTATATAAAAAATAAAATAAAATAATAATTCGTGTTTTGAATAATAATAATAAATATTAATCCAAAGATTTTTCAAAGAGCTTTTAAATACTGTACATCAATTTATAAATAATAATAATAATAATAATAATAATATAGTATTTATTTATTAATTATTTAATTATACAAAAACCAGTATTGAGTTAAACCTGATTGACCCGTCTGTAAGATGTCCTTCAATATTAGGGATATTTTTTTAAAAATTTTTGTAAAAAACAATACAAATTTCTCAATAATATTCCTAAATACTGATAGAGAGAATACATAATTTACTGTACAATATATTATTGAGTAAATGTTGAGTTTGCTAATTAAAATAAATTAAAATTCATAAACTTTTTGTGTGTATTTTTTTTAATTAATTTATGTCCAAAAAGTTGAAATATTTCATATAAAAAACAATACATTATTAAATATTAATGGTATCAATATATTTAAATAATATTATCATATACATTGGTAATGTACAGTACAGTATAATTATTAATCAAAATTATAATATCAACTAAACTATAAAAATCAAACAATCAAAATAACATAAAGATTTTATATATCAAATGTTATGCATTTGTAATGTCTTTTGATAGACAAATAGTTTTTGTTTTCATTTGAGTTAAATATCTGACAAATAATTTGATAAGAATTGTCGATACGTTTTTGAAATACAAATAAATTTTAGACCAAAATCTGAACCATTATATAGACGAAGACAAATATAGTCAAGTGTTGAAACACTGAAACAGCGATCCAAATGTTGTCTAACTGTCTGTTGGAACTGTTACTTGTCTTATGCTTTTGTGTGGCGACGATCACAAATCGGAAGAGTTGTGTCACAAGAAATGGTAATATGAAATTCAATTTAGCCATCGATGCCACTAATGCCACAAATATTAGGATACCTATGACTAACAGTTTATTGTGATTTTGGCTTAACATCCAAACTAAATGTGAGGTCAAAGTCGTGGTATTGTTTTGATGAGATTGTTGTAGAGTTCGGTAATCAATTGGCGTCGATATCAGCGATACTTTTCGTGGAAACGTTCGGTCAATGGACTGTCTTTCGTTTGTCGTCTCAAACGTTTGCGAAGTGACCACCGATGACCTATTGACTCCATTGGCATTCAGACGATGTCTTAACTCACTGTTTTCGCTAAAGAAATCAAACGCTTTTTGAGTCACTATTTGTCCGATTGCTGGCAACTCTTTCAGCAAACTATCTTCATTATTGGCCACATGTTTGTGGCCACTGTTGTCGTCACCGGTGATATCGGTGACGACGACGTCACTAATGGTCTCACTATTTGTTGTTTTATTATTATCGTTGTTTGGTCTGTCTTTGTGGTCATTCATCGACAAAATCCGATTCATTCGTATATTACTTCCTAATAAAATCTTCTCGCGTCTGATCCGAGCTCTGCGTTGAGCATCGGTTTCAGTGGTCATCACCACAGTTGCCGTCGTAGTTGTCGACTCCTTAGCGGTGGCCGACACGCTGTCCGAGCATTCACTCATCATTGTTGTTGTTGATGATGATTATGTCGCCAGCAATGGATCAATTGATTGGTAAATGAGACGAAACGATGCGTTTGTTTTGACGTTTAATTAATTAATTAAATCAATGAATGATATAATCATTTGCTATCAAATCATTTGATTTTATTTATGTTTTTTTTTCTATAATACTCTCAAAACCCCAAACTATACATCAATTACGACACAATGTATTGTTGACTAAAATTTTTGTTTATTATTTGACGATTCAATTGCAATACAAGTCTCTATACTTTAAACTAAAAAAAGTAATTAATAAATAGTTTAGAGACTAATGTATTAATAAAATGTAATGACAAACAACTGCTGTTTAAATAAATTATATGTAAGATAACAGTGCTTTGAATTTACAATTTTAAAAAAATAATAAATAATAAAATTAATTAATGACACAAATTCAGTGCAAATAGTAAAAAATAAAATAAAATCATTTTTACAAAAAAATTATAATAACAAATAACAACAAAATTTAAAAAATAAAAATGCAATTAAATATATTATTATTAAGTTTTTAATGTGTTTTAATATCTATGTTTAATAAATATGCAATTAATAAATATGCATGTGCATTTATAAATAATTATTTTTGCTGTAATATATAAATTTAATAAAAATATTGATTTCATGTGTAGAAAAATTGCTATCAAACTATTCAATACCAATAACCTATAAAATTATTATAAAAAATAAGTTTCATTTCATATAAAAAATAATTTCAAATAAAAAAACAAAAAATTCTGACAAAAGTTATAATGAAATTATAGGCAATAATTAATTAATTAATTTTAAACTATAGCTTCTTTAAAAGTTTTGTACTCAGTATTTGTATTATTATTATTATTATTAATATCAATATTGTGGGCCAACCTCTTGAGCGCTGCCATACAAGCGATGAGGACATTGTCGTTAAAGTTTCTTTCTTCAGGAATTTTACATAAATCGATCAGCCGTTTGACGGCATTAAGTCTGAAAAATATTTGCGTAACACTCGCACTATTGGCCAGTCGGGCGATGGCCACCGACACCTTCTGTTGGATCCGTTCTAATGCCAATAGTTGTTGCTCTTCTTCCATGTCTTCATATCTCAATTGCAACGAATTGATAATATAGATAAGTCCTCCGCTGCTTACTATTTCCAGCGGAAATTTTCGGGCAATATTAGCCAATATTGTAATAATCTGATCCCGGATGAAGATGTCATCGGCAACGATGGGATTTCCGAGAATTACATTTAAGGCATTGCTGTTGACTATTGACTCGATGTCGACAAAAGACATGTTTGCAAATGTGGCACAAATTAATAAAATTATTTTTGCATTTTTCGCCTCTTCTATCACTTTCGTTAAACAATATATGAAGTCATTTATGACAAATTGCGGGAACGGGTCTTCCGATTGATGGGCAATATGTTTGACGGGACTGACATTGACACCACTTGTCTTACTTTTATCTATCAATTGTTTTGTCAGCTGAAGCATCAAATCGATGGCTTCCCTTAGAATCAGTTCTGAAGATTCATTAGTTATAAGAGACGTCAAGAACTGACTATAAGTGCATTCATTGATTAATTGTTTTACGGCTTTCCTATTAATACATAAAATAGTGAGAACTCTCAGTGCTATGACTTTGATTTGCTGCTCTTCTGGTGTCGAGTCCAGTGATATTAACCAATAATTATTAATAATTTCAATCAACGGCTTCACTATATCATGATATTCAACAAATATGCGACAAATATAGGGATCATTTTGCGCTAATGAACAACAAGATAGCAATGACCACTTTATTGATAGCATACCAGTGCGCTTGTATAGCGAATCTATAATTACCTATAAATTTATATTAAAGATATAAAAAAAATGTTTTTCATATTATTTTTTAATTATGTATAACTGACTGACTTGTAGTTTACAGTATTGTATAAATCATAAGCAATAAAAATATTTGTATAAAACCATCAATAATATAATTATTAACGGAAACACAAAAATTATTTTTTCAAAACTTACTTTACATTCATTTTTAATCCATTGATTTATAAGTTCTCCGAATAGCTCTTTGAGTTTTCTAACCGTTGACTCTAATTGTGAATTGTTTACACATTTTTTGGCAATAAATATGTCAATTAATTTGTTAGTCAAAGAGGCTGTCCTATAGACTGATTCAATCAATTTATTCATGTATTTTGTGTTATTAACAAACTTTCGTTCACATATGTCGACTATTGTCTGTATCTCGCAATAGGTCTGCCAATAGTTACTTTTAATAAGTTTTAATGTGTTGCCAGACATTGGCATCTCATCTATAAAATAGTCTAAATCTTCAATTAATTTCGTAGATTTGGTCCGAATTTCTTGGACTGTTATGTGTGAGTCTCTGATCTGAAAGGCTTCATATGATTGCGGAGTTGTGGCCACAGACTTGGCCTGCAATGTATTTAACGATTCCACATATATTGTGGTCTTCAAGTCCTTTAACCACTCTCTCAGCGAACTTTCCTTACAATACATGTGCTAATGTAGTGAATAAAACAAAACAAAACAAAAATATATAAATTAAAAATGATTTGAAATCTTTAATATACATAAAAATCTCTTTTTTCATAAACAGAAAAGTCATTGGCTTTAGTTTTTTGAGACATCATCTGATGATTTAATGCTTATATAACTTACACATATATATATATATATACAGTGCATACATATACTTATGCTATACAGTGTATTAAATATAATACAAACAGAGAAGTAAAATAAGCTTTTTTTTATCAAAAAATGTTTTTTCAAAAGTTCAAACACAATATAATCCTAATGTCATTTCAAGTGACACAAACTCTAATCAAAATTAACATTAAATTTGTTTAGAAAAAGCCGAAAATTTTATATACAAAAATGATTGCAACTTTTTTTTTGAAAAAAATAAAAAGTAAAAAGTTTTATTTTGTGAATTTATATTTTTGTTATTTTTGTATAGTTATTATATATATATAACTTTACTACAACTTTAATATATAGTAAGAATATTAATGATAATAATGATAATAATAACAATTTCTTATGTATTAAAAGTTTCAAGTTTTTTGAGACATAAAAAATAAGTATTTTAAATATGTTATAATAATCTTATAATAATATACAAATTATTCAAAAGATTTTGATAAATTAAAATTAGAAAATATTAGAAATAAAAATTTTACAATTTGTTAAAAAGAATAAAAATAAATAGAAATAATTGAATATGAAACTTACCATGGTTAATAATTTAGTAAATTTTGTTGTGATTTTTTAAAAACTACAGAAAAATGTTTTAAATCCAATGTCTACGAGTAGTTGAATCAATTTAAACGGTTAGACCTGAATATTAACTCTAACTGACATATACTCTATGTGTAGCAGATGTTATGATTGTTGTCGTATAGCAGATGCCGGTGTGTGTGTATGTATGCCCTTCCCTGTGCTTATTGCTTATTGTAATAGTGTATTAGTGTAATGCATGCGCGCACTCTATGTATGTACGTGCAGTGGCACGCGTTTGGCGTCCGTTAGAAATTTGTGTTGTTGTTTGATTTGAAAAAAGGACGACACGTGTGTTTGTCCATTACATAGACATCTGCCTCTTAGTAATGAGTGACCACACGCTGTCATTAGGATCTCTCTCTCTCTCTCTCTCTCTTTCTTTCTTTCTTTCATAAGTTTATCTAAAGAAATATCTTTTATTTTAAAAACAATGGCAACAAAATCGCGTTTTAATATAATTTTGTTGAGAGCTAATGAACTCCTGAAAAAAAACAAAACCAAAAACATTGTTGTCTTTTTTAGCATTGAAATGTCTGAACAAAACCAAACTTGACTTTAACTTAACCGTAAGTAAAAAAAAACTTCATATGAAATGGAGATAAACTCTAAACTCTACGCTAAAAAAATGTATAATAATTGCAACAATTTATAACTCTTATTAACACACAAATGCATTCATCGAAACACATTACTTATGAAATAAATAATAATAAAAAAAACAGATTAAAGTTTTATAAATGAGAAAAATTATAAGAAGAAAAAGCAAAAAAAATAAGTGAAATAATAAATATAAAATAAATTTCATTTATAATTTTAATGGTCTACACATACATATACTGTATATATAGTGCCACAAAAAATGTAAAAATTATTATTATTTTCATTTAATATATACTTTTTCTTAGTTACTGCAAATGTCACTGAAATTTGAAATATGAGCGAACACTATGTTTGCCAAAAATGTAGTTTTTATGATTCATTGACTAATTTATTGCAAGTCGTTATTAAATTATATATAAATGAAATAAAATGCATTTAAAAAGTTCATAAATTTTTGTTTCATTTAAAATCAAGTTCTTATAGTGTTTTTGACCGGAAGATCCAGTCAGTCAATCGGTGACATATAGGATACATATTTAATAATAAATCTGATATATTTGTGGCAAACGTTTAAATATACTCTATTATAATTTATATATATATTTAGATACTGTATTTAAATATGTTATTATAAATGTTGATTACTTATTTGCATTTGAGATGATGACTACACATATAATATCCATAACATTGATTTGATTAATTGCTGGCATATTATTTAAGTGTTGTCTTTCTTTCTTTCTTTCTGAATATGTGTGTGTATGTGTGTGTGTGTGTGTGAATACAATTTATATTTTATTCACCAACAAAATAAAAAACAAAATAAATTATATGTTTTATAATCTACTAAATTGTTTGACACATTGATAAATACTTTCATTTATTCTCTTTCTTTAATGTTAAGCGAAATTTTTTGTTATAATATATTAATATACTTAAAGCAAATGTGTGTAAGTGTTATGCAATTTTGTTTGTAGCGATGATCGCATCAATTTATTTATAAAAATATTGAAAAAATGTGATAATTTCTAACATTTATTCCTAACTCCAACAGATTTTTTTCTGATAAAAACTTGTTAAGCATAACTTTTATAGTTACTAATTTTTATAAAAATAGATATATAAAATTAAAAAAAAAATTATAAATATAAATTATAAAAATTATTATTTATTTATGTATTTATTCAAAATGAGTTATTTGTGGTATTAAGTAATTTTCGTTACTTGATTTATTATACATTTATATGTTATATAAAAATAATTGATTATAAATTAATAAATCTTTAAAAAGTTTATTTATTTTAAAATAATTGCTAACAATATCTAAGTTTACGAATTATATTATAGAAATTGTTTTTTGAAAAATAATAATTTAAAGCGATTAAGTATATAATTAAAAAATTGATTTTAATATAAAATAAATTTGACTTTATTTATTTTTTTTAGTAAACTAATTTATATTTGTAAACACTGTATTTGTATTAGATAAATATTATGTACTGATATACATATGTATATGGCATTTGTTGTAAATTAAATAAAGTTAATATTAAAATATAAAAATAAACAATTATATGATATAATATTATTTTAAATAATAATAAAACATAAAAATTGATTTGATTAAATGAAAACTAAACTAAATATAGAAGTAAATTATTCATTATTTTTGTTATATACAATATTTAACATAATTTTTATTGTTATTATGTTTTGATTTATATACTAATGATTTATATAACATGCATAATGTTAAACATATATTATATACTTTAATTATAAACTTTTTATGTAAATTTTCCGCACCATTGTTGTTGACAATAAACTAAACTGAATATTAAAAAACTATCTAAAAATACTTGAAAAACAAATTTTTCATTCATAAACTTTTTTTATTTAATAGTATAATTAATTAGTTTATACTATACTTTTTTTTATTTATTATTCAATTGTATTCAATTAACTGCATAATAAAATAATAATGCATAACAAACAAAAAACAATGAACTGTATTTAATACAAAAAAAWATATATATATACTTTATATTTAAAATAGTATCTGAATACTAAATTAGTATTTTTTTATACCGTAACAAAAAAAGTTGAGATATAAAATAGTTATCTGAACATTAACATGAATTTCATGTTAAATTTAAAGTATATTTWWAAAAAAAATATTTTACACGATAAAAAGCAATAAAATTCAATTAAAAATTTATTTTATCTGAAAAACTATATTTTTAACTAAAAAGAACTAATGATTAATTAGTTACAACACATATGCAATGATATTTTACGGACACACACATACACACACACACTCACACACACAAATACATACACACTCACACACACATACATACATACAYACTCACACACACACACACAAATACATACACACTCACACACACTCACACACACACACACACACACACACACACACACACACACACACACACACATACATACATACATACACAYAYACACACACAAACACATACACATACATACATACATACATACATACATACATACATACATACATACATACATACATACATACATACATACATACATACATACATACATACATACATACATACATACATACATACATACATACATACATACATACATACATACATACATACATACATACATACATACATACATACATACATACATACATACATACATACATACATACATACATACATACATACATACATACATACATACATACATACATACATACATACATACATACATACATACATACATACATACATACATACATACATACATACATACATACATACATACATACATACATACATACATACATACATACATACATACATACATACATACATACATACATACATACATACATACATACATACATACATACATACATACATACATACATACATACATACATACATACATACATACATACATACATACATACATACATACATACATACATACATACATACATACATACATACATACATACATACATACATACATACATACATACATACATACATACATACATACATACATACATACATACATACATACATACATACATACATACATACATACATACATACATACATACATACATACATACATACATACATACATACATACATACATACATACATACATACATACATACATACATACATACATACATACATACATACATACATACATACATACATACATACATACATACATACATACATACATACATACATACATACATACATACATACATACATACATACATACATACATACATACATACATACATACATACATACATACATACATACATACATACATACATACATACATACATACATACATACATACATACACATACATAC